GACATGAGGAAAAATTTCTTTACTGAAAGAGTGGTTAAACATTGGAACAGGCTGCCCAGGGAAGTGGTTGAGTCCCCATCCCTGGAAGTATTTAAAAGATGAGTAGATGAGGCACTTAGGGACCTGGTTTAGTGGGCATGGTGGTGTTGGGTTGATGGTTGGACTCCATGATCTTAGAGGTCTTTTCCAACCTCAATGATTCTATGATTCTATGATTCTATGATCTTCTTACAACAAGTGGTATCCCTCTAAGCCTAGGGGACTGTTTCTCCATTGAATGTATGAGGAGTCAGGTCTGGCAGCCTAGAACAGTTTTGCGCAAATCGCTTGTTGTGCTTTTGAAATTGGACAACATTGTAGATGTCCTTCCTAATGAATTAAGCATTTGTACTGCACAGCCTGAGTACAGTCTTAAATCTCCCTAAATCCTGTTACTTGAATGAATCCGGTTCGAGTATCTAATGAGATAGTATATGGCATTCAGCAGTAGGACCTATGGAAGACTTAGGTATACTGTGCAAGGTTAGAATCTTTGGAGTTTTTTAGTCAAAACTTAAATTGTCACATTCAAATGTTTTGCTGTTTAAAAAGAAAAAAAGCAGAAATGAAACCGAAAGGGCTGTTAGCTCACCTTGAACAAACCGCTTAGAATGCGAGAGAACTGATACTATTCTAACTTAAAGTAATTTTTCATTAGGTATCTATTTTTATTTTGGATATTTATTTTATTGGTAACGATTACACTGCAGCAGGTAAGAGAGAAGTGTGTGAACTAAGTGAAATTCACAAAGAACAAATAGTTTTATCAGGTTTCACTGAGAAGAAGTGGGGAGAGCAAGTTCTCTGACCTCTGGTTTTGGTCGGTAGTGTTATCTCTGTGCTATGGGATGCTGTAGTTAGTTTTCTACCAGAAAAATTAATAATAGTAAAATATTGTTAATATTGACCTTCAAGAAAGAGGTTTTTAACTACAGGTGATAAAAATTTCCATGGAAGAGAGGGCTTTTTTTAAATTTTTTAAGTTAAGAAACATTTTTCTTAACTTTGGAATCAGAGGGATATGTCTGGCACACTGGGATTTAATGAGTTTAAAGAACTCTGGGCTGTGGTCAATGGCTGGAAGCAACACTTCTTAAGTTTTGACAACGATAGAAGTGGTACAGTGGATCGTCAAGAACTGGAGAAAGCCTTGGTGAATATGGGTAAGTTGTGAAATGTTCTCGCTTCTGACACTGACTTACAGCATTTCCCAGTACCGGTTATCATCCCGTAGTAACTGACACATGATATTTACAATTAAAAATGTGTTGGATTCTGTTAACTTACCCGTCTTTTCAATATAGACTCTTTATTTTCAAATAGGATTTAGACTGAGCCCACAGGCAGTGACTGCAATCACAAGGCGATACAGCACTCGTGGAAAGATTACATTTGATGATTACATTGCCTGCTGTGTGAAACTCAGAGCTCTCACTGGTATGCTAGATTATAGCCATGTTACTGTCATCCCCATAATATATTTCTATTTAATAAAATCTGATTGCTCAGTTGTCTCAAGTTCAACTTTAACTTTTATGTAACACAAAATAGGTTTCTTTCAATAGAGTTTACAGGCAGAACTGGAACAATTATAGATTATGATTTTTTTAAAATCCTTCAACTTTAATTTATGTAACACAAAATAGGTTTCTTTCAATAGAGTTTACAGGCAGAACTGGAACAATTATAGAGTATGATTTTTTTAAAATCCTTGAAAAATGGACTTAAAATTATTGCAGGGTTTATTCCAGAGACTAGAAGAGTTATGTTCTCAAAATTGGGAAACTGTATTTCTCAACAGAACATAAAGGGTTGTATATGATAAATATGAAAATGAAGAAAGGGAAATTAAGTCTTGGAATGAATTGAAGTGTTCTTCATGAGTTCTCATTCACGTGACTTGGGGAATTTAATGAAAGTACAGTGCATTTTTAAAAAAATTGATTAACTGTCATTCTTCTTACCTGGTTTCTGTTTTGTTTTCTTAATGCATTTTTGCAGAATGTTTTAGAAGAAGGGATACATCTCAGCAGGGTTTTGTGAACTTCCAGTATGATGATGTAAGTGAACTTTAAGGAATCAGTTAAAGTTACAGGGTGAAACTGAAGAAAAACTTAAAACTGAAGACTAACAGTAATGATCTGAGTTTGTGCCTGTCTTCCCTACACTTATGGTGTTACCTGAGAGCACAAAGGTTCTGGGTTGTGTTGAGTATTGTCTCAAAAAGTTTTCACATATTCTATAGAGTTCTATAAAAAGTTGTGCATTTTTGTCTGGACTTCTTACCAGCGTGGTTCAAGAAGATCTAAGAAGCTACGTCACTTTCTGTGACTTTTTTTTCTTCCTTTGTTTTGAAGTTTGGTAGCCATTTTTCCTGGGAAGGGTTGGGGGTGGTGCAGTGGGGATGGACACAAATCACACTCAGTCAGGCTTGTAGGTCTTGGCTTCCTGGCTGCATCTGTGCAGGAAAAGGAGAATACTAGATTCAAGTATTCCTGGGTTTTTTGTTGTTACTATTAAGGAGATGCTTTGTTTTAATTAACTATTAGTTAATTTTCATATTTAGGTTTAAAGCTTTGGTGTTCGTGGACTGAATTTGTTTACAGAAAAGGGTAGTGACAATGAGTATTTTAGGACAAAAAGTGAAAACTTGTTCTCTACCATGCATCTAATAAGTGGTTATTCTTTTTTCAGTTCATACAGTGTGTTATGAGCGTCTAAATCAAAAGGAAGCAAGCCGTGGATGACCACGATTAACATTCCAGTTTGTGTTTTGCTTTGCCAAATCTTCCAATGATGGTGTATCTCAGTATTGGAAATGGCATATTTTATGAAGGTATCGCTTTACACACTTGCATTTTTTTAGTTTTGACAATGACTATAAACTACTCATGTACTGTCGTCTTTAACTTTCAACCTGTGACTATTAAAGATGTTTTTATTTTCATAAACTTGTAATTCACTATGTATAACTCAAATTATGCAGATAGTAAGTTTTTCTGTAGTGTGTTTACTTTTTTCCTGTGATTCACTAAAACCAGTTCCTGGAGTGCAACTTACTTTTTTCTGTCTTAAACAGTATCATGTGTATGAGATAAGATGATACATATTCTTTTGTCTTTGACAGCATAAGACACATGTACAAACTGAAAGAGCTTTTGGAATGATCATTTTATGCTGGTCTGTTAGAACATCAGTAAATTTAAGTGGCTTATTTTGACAGCTAGCTGTTTTGAAGATGAAGTCTGTGACACCATGCACTGAGTGTAACACTACCTGTTAGAACTTCAGGGATGCGATAAAACATAGCAGAGAACTCTTCTAGCAGTGTGCTCTTGTATAGGGGGCTTTTGTTCCGGTAAGATTCTTGCTCTGTTGTGACACTATATAAAACTTTTAAACATACAAAAACTACACTGTGTCAGTTTATACATTAACTTCCCCTTTAACAATGAACTTCTAAGCTGCCAGACTTCAGTTACATGTAAATTAGGGTTTCTATCTCCTCCACTTCAAACCCTACAAGTAGCCTTTCCTGCCTCTATATGCCAACTAACATACAAGGGCCAAACCCCACTTCGAAAAATTCTTGCCAGATTACTGTTTCAGATCACGGCAGTAATTACCAATGCTGTAGAATTTACATGAAAGCAGATACAGAAAGGCTAGCCTTTTTTGCCTGAGATTTTTTTTCAGGGAAAAAAAAGGTTGGTTTTTTGTTTGGTGGAGGTTTTTGGTTGATTTTTTTTTTTGAGGGGAGGATTGACATTGTATGGGAAGAGGGGGCAGCATTAACTGTATGGAGGTAGTTCAAACTTTTTTCCAATGAAATAAGTGAATGAAACTTCCATTAATTTTGGTGCACACCACAGTGCAAAGAATGCCAGAAGAATGTTAAAAGGGGTATATTTCTTATATTAGTGGTTTAGAGCACTTTTGGGGAGGAGCCTTTGCACTAAGGCATGGAAGCAAAACTATACGTGCGTGTGTATATATAGATACACAAGTACATGTCACTAGACAAACAACAGAAATAATCCTTGGAGCAGAAATCTTGCTTGAAGATACTTTTTATACCCTAGCTTGCTAAGAATACTGTAAAATCTAGGTCTCTAGTTTCCGGGCTATAAGTTCAAAGCTGGCTGGTCTCACCTAAAGAAGCAAGTCGTACTACTTAAATTCAGAATCTTTTGGATATTGCTTCTAGTTTAATTTCAGAAGCTAGTTCTCTTTCTGCCTGTTGTGGTTTAACCTCAGTTGGCAACTGAGTACCACACAGCTGCTCGCTCACTCCTTCCCGCCCCCCCCGCCCCGGTGGGATGGGGGAGAGAATTGGAAGAGCACAAGTGAGAAAAACTCATGGGTTGAGATAAAAACAGTTTAATAATTGAAATAGAATAAAATCATCATAATAATAATAGACAAAGCAAGCGATGCACAGTGCAGTTGCTCACCACCCGCCGACCGATGCCCAGCCAGTCCCCGAGCAGCGGCCCCCCCCAGCCAGCTTTCCCCAGTTTATGTACTGAGCATGACGTCACATGGTATGGAATGTTTTTTGGCCAGTTTGGCTGTGCCCCCTCCCAGCTTCTTGTGCACCTCCAGCCTTCTCAGTCGGTAGAGCATGGGAAGCTGAAAAGTCCTTGACTAGTGTAAGCATTACCTAGCAACAACTAAAACATCAGTGTGTTATCAACATTGTTCTCCTCCTAAATCCAAAACACAGCACTGTACCAGCTACTAGGAAGAAAATTAACTCTATCCCTGCTGAAACCAGGACACTGCCCTCAAAAATCAATTTTAAAGGCATAGACATGATTATGCTTCCACATTTTGATAATTGTACGCTGTCTTGTTGCACATAAAGTTGGGAAACAGACATGGAATGCTACAGAAAGCATTTCTAACACGACCCAAGTCCATAAAGATTTGTCTGACTGAAGTGGCCAACATCAGTTCTGCTGTAGTTCAAAACTTCAACAGCTGATGAAGGTAGTAAACTGAGTATGAAGCAAAGGCTGTTCTTCCTCTAGGGTTTTGATTAGACTATTTTGCATAAATACAATATTCATCCTTATACTCTTAATTTGACCCCAAAAAGGATGAGACATCTTTACCAAAATGCACATTGCCCACATTTCTCTCATACTTTTGTTAATTGTGTTTCTGGTCTTGTACCGGGTTTGGCCGAGATGGAATTAATTCTCTTTATAGCAGCCCGTAGGGTGCTGTGGTTTAGATTTGTGACTAAAACAGCATTGATAACACACCAGTGTTTTAGCTGTTGCTGAGCAGTGCTTGCACTGCATCAAGATTTTCTGTGTTTCTCACTCTGCGACCCCAGTAAGTAGGCCGAGGGTGGGCACGAGGCTGGGAGGGAACGCAGCGGGGACAGCTGACCCGAATGGACCAAAGGGATATTCCATGCCATGTAACGTCATGCTCAGCAGTAAACCTCGGGCGGGGGTGGATAAGTCTCTCCAAAGTAGCTGTTGCCTGGGGACTGGCTGGGCATTGGTCTGCTGGTGGGAGGTGGTGAGTGATTGCCTTTGTGTGGCAAGCTGTTTTACCTTGATCTGCAATTCTTTTTTGTGCTGTTCCAATTCTCCACCCACCACAAGCCTGAAACTACTAATGAAAGAAAACATCAGGCAATATTCTTGCAGATAAGTGTAACTTACTAAATGATTTGAGGCCCCCCAGAAGTTCCACACTCCTATACAGGTATGAAGTTATGCAATAAATCATGAGAATTATTGATGAAATAATATGTGGAGGTAAAATTGTGCCTACAAATAAAAGCTTGGCTTGAGAAATGTGTTCAGCTTATTTTGCGTACTCGGGGTTTTTTGGAGGGGGGGGGTTGCCTTTTTTTTTTTTTAATGAGAGGCATAGGAGGTGTCTGGAGCAATGAAAGAAGAGGACCAATAGCAAACACGCTAAGTCTTTCTCAGTTTATTTCCCCAGGCTGAATTACTATTCTGGCACCAGCCAGCTACTGGGCAGTGAAATGCTGCAAGAACAACAGTGTGAACCAATGGGGTTTTCTTCAGGGATCTTCTCATCAGAGAAAACTGGAAAACAAATTGCTCCAAAACCAGGAACAAATTCTAGCTTACCCAGGAAAGAATTGCTTTTTGTTCTCCATAAGCATTTCAAAAATCAGTGGTATTCACAGGGTCTGATAGGATAAATCATGGTTCATGTTCAGACATAAACTAAGATAATAAATACTGTTGCTAAGGAGTGACTACAGAATTTGCTGTCATCTAGCTAAAAAAAAGCCACCTGAAACCTATGTGAAAATTGCTTCCCCATTAAGAGTAGATTCAGTGGACAATTTGAACATGCAAGTTACCTGCTTGAGAGAAACAGTTATCTATAATTCAGAATTAAGGGTGTCTCTTTCCTAAAACACATACTGGGAAGGATGCTTGTGAGATACTAAGTGGGTGATTGGTCTTGACCTTTGTGCAAACAATTGGGCATAGTTTAGAATGTAGATCATTTTTCTAGGTTGCCCTCAGACATGCAAACCTAAGGAACGGTAATAGATTTGCTTTGAGAACAGTAGGACCCTAAGACAAAGACTGGGAAGCTCACAGGATCATTTTCAACCCTGGAATTTGAAAAATAACATCCGTATTCTATTAAAAATAGCATCTGTATTCTATTATTAGCCATTAGCCTTTTTTTCCCCATGCATGCAGCAGCATTTTTTTACGGAGACCTATAAAACAGGAAGTGCTAAATATCAGGACTTACGAGAACAAAATACACACAACAGTCTGTCATTGAAAGTCACTTTACTGATGTTACAATATGTTAGTAACATTGAAAACCACAGGCATTTGTATTAAATACTCTCATAGAAGCGGGTACTGTAATGCTGTTAATAAAAGTGAGCAGGAATTTAGAACCCCAAATTACAATGATTTGATTTTATAAAAAGCAACATTTTGTTTAGCTACATGAAAGCCAGATTCATTCACTTCAACAGCCCAATGCCTGTAATGTTTATGACAAAAATACCACACTCAAAGCTAGAAGTTGTAAATTGCAATGCTTCATTTTGGTGTTTGTCAAAATCTTATGTTTCTATTACATCAGGTATGATCTTTAAAGGATTTTAACTAGCAAAGACAACAATATGGTGTAGATTGGTTGTTTTTGCTAATACTAGCCCAGCCCCAGTGGTGAAACATGATTCTCCTTGCCTCTCTAAATGTTTTACCAATAGGGGCTAGTATGAGTGTAAAATAGCTTTTTTTTTTACAGCAATGCCCAAGATAAACATAAGCACAAAATGAAGCTGCCAGAGCCAATTGATATATACCGCCCCAAAAGCTTTGCTGAAAGAACTGGTCATACTGTAACTAGTGTTTTCTCCAGCGGATTAAAAATTATGTAACGCTTTGCTATTCTGAAAAAAATATTTTGCATTTATGCAACAATAAAAATAAGTACTGTATTCTATATAAAACACTACCTATTGTAATATATCTTTACCCTTAAGAAAAGAAAAATCAGGTTATATATTCACAGTTTGAATATGTTCTGGACTGTTTCCAAGCATAAAATATGCAGTCTCTACACAGGCAGTGAGCAGGAGTCCTTGTACCAATAATCAAAATAAATCAGCATTTACTGTTATACAGAGCCTTGCAATATTGCATGATTAGCTGCTAGCACCACTATACTTACAAGGTCAGTCAGGCCTATATACAGAATTTCTAATGTGGTTGTAAAAATAGACTCTCCATGCTAAAGTTAGAATATAGAAGGTCTTAAGGCCTCATGTTAAGATTTTTTTTTTAACTGAAACTTTATTTTTTTTATTCAGAGGAATACAGAAACAGAAAAAAAATAGCTTGTTGCTTTGACATTTTATGCTCTAGTAATTAAAAATAGTGTAAGACACCTATACTTCTCCCTTAAAGAACGTGTTTCTGTTT